CACAGTGCCCCTCTCTTGCCCCCCTTTCAATCACCACCTTGTTAATGGACCTGGAATCCACAGGCCCTTCCGACCCACAGAGCTGCTAGGAGCTCGGCCCCCTCTCAGCTGGACCTTCTCACATCCAGAACCTTCTCACGGCCCCTGCCTCAATCCCATCTGCACCCCAGGGCCAAAGTTATCATCTTAAACACAGACGTGTTGGTGGCCCTCTCCTGCTCAAGAGTCTTCAATGGCTCCCTGCTACTCTGGGAACAGCACAAGCTCTGGCCCCGTTTACTGGGCTTTTCATACCCTGCACGGCTTCCTCCTTCCCCAGCCTTGCCTCCGCCCCCCCTACCTAACTGGGCTCCTGCACACGCCGCGTGGCTCACTCATCCTTGCTTGTCACGGGTCTGGGAGCACCCTCTCCCCTCCAACCCCACCCTCCCCTTCGACGCCTGGGCTCACTCCTGTGCACCCTGCAGAAGCCCCACTCCACGCACCTCCTGAGAGCCTCCCGCGGCCCCCAGACTGGAGCCTGTGCCCCTCCCCAGCACCTACACAGGCTCCCGTCTTCCCAGCCCAGCACCAGGGCCTGGCAAAGTCCCGAGCAAGGGCCCGGGCACTGCCCCAAGCTCGAGCTCAGCTCCACCAGCTGCCAGCCTCGCGGCCTCTCGAGCTCAACTCCTCTCAGACCTGCCCTCAGAGCGGGGCCTGGCGCTGGCCTTCCTCTGGGGCGGGGGCAGCCCCCCCTCCCCGCCCGGGGTGGGGGCGCCCACAGGAGCCTCGGCCCACAGTGTGGAGTTTCCCCACACCCTCCACACACCGATTTACTGTCTTTTCATTAAACCTGAGCGGCCCTGACGCTTGGTGGCTCCAGCGCAGGGGCATGAACTTGACCTGAAGGCCTCCCTCGGAGGTCCTGGCGCCTCCTGCACGGCCTCGTGCGTGGGTCCCTTCCCTCCCTGTCCCTACACTGGAGCCCCCTCCCCAGAGGGGGGAGCCCAGGGTCTGGGCTCAGCGCTGAGCACCCGTTTCGAGAGACATCACCCACGGGCTCCCCAGACGCCAGCTAAACGGCGTGTCAGCGGGGTCAAGGCGGCGGGGCACAGGGGCGCCTGCGCCCAGGGTCCCCACCTGCATACTTACAGTACCCACACCTGGTCCCGCCTTCGAAGATGAATCCGTTTGGCACGGCCCCGTAGCGCCGGAGGTCAGACAGCTTCCACTGCCCAGCGACAGCGGGGGGGACGTCCCTGGCCACAACGAGGACATCGTTGCAGAGGTGGAGAGTGGCGGGGCCGCTCTCCAGCTTGGTGCCCGGAGCCACTGTCACGTGGAACCTGTGCACTGAGGGTCGGGCAGGGCGAGAGGGCATCACTGGGGGGGGCAGGAGGGCAGGGCACAGAGGGGCAGCGCCAGCCGCCGTGGCTGCCCTGACCTCTCCCATCCTCCGAGGGTGGGCAAGTCCTTGGAGGGGCTGCCCTGAGCATCCCTGCCCACCCCACAGCCGCAGGCGGCCCCAGCGAGCTCCGGGGACAGCTCCTCGCTGAGGCCGCAGGTGGCACCCTGCGCGGGGTCGGATCACAGAGCAGCTCCCCTCAGGGAGCAGCCCCTGCAGCCTTGTGGCCCCAATCACAGGCAGGGAGACTGAGGCTCGGGGAGTCTGCGGAGTGTCTGGGGCCTGCCTCACAGCTGGCCTGGCTACGGGGACACCCAGCAAACTGCAGAGACCCCTCCCCTCCCCATTCGGGGTCTCCCTGGTGCTGGGTACGGCCAGCTTGCTCCACGACATCCCCTCCTCATCGCAGCCTGGCCCCTGGCCCCTGAAGCCTGTACGAGGCAGTGGTTGTGAGCTGTGTCCCCAGATCGTCCCACCTAGGAAAGGGGTGCACACCTGGGGCAACGGGTCCCCAGAGAGGATGGCAGCCAGAATGCCTTGGCCACCGTCTCGTCTCCAACGCCCCCGTCCTCCTCGGAGCCCCACCGCCAGTCCCAGTGTCCTTGTCTTGGTTTCTACTAAGGCGCCTGCCCAGCCCATAAGAGAAAGGGGAGCCGTGCCCGAGCCAGGGCAGCTGGCGAGACCCCAGCAGGAGAGCGTCCCTTCTCCCCGGCACCCTGCCCGGGCTGGTCCGGGGCTCCTGGAGGGCGGGGTGCGGTGCCCAGCTGGACTGGGGGCAGGGGAGAGAGGCTGCGTCCCCTCCTCGCCTCCCGGCCCCAGCCCCTCACATCTGCGCGCTGTCCTGGCTCTGGGTTCGAGTGGCCAGGTTAGGGAGCACTGTGGAAGGTCATGCTGCCCTGACAGCCACCCGCTTGGGTTCAAGGCCCTCGTTCTAACTCACAGGGTCAAGCTAGGCTGCGAGGAGGCCTCAGCGGCCCCGCCTGCTCCCCCACCCTGGCCTTGACCCGGACCTTGGGCTCCTAGACTGCGGGCCCTGAGACACTCCTGCTCCACAAGGCGCGGCTTCCGTGGCCGCGGGTGAGGCCCGGCACACTCGGGATGGAGTCTGGCGCCCCGGGCCCGTGTCCCGCATCACTCACCCTCGCCGAGCGCATAGCGGATCCGGGCGTCCCAGGCGCACATGGCCTCCCGGCTGTCGAAGCCCAGCATGACGGCCTGCGACAGGCAGACGATGGCCAGCGTGTGGGCCAGGCCCTCGTAGGGCAGCCCGGGCTCCAGGCCGCAGATGTCCTCCAGCATCAGGCTGCTGCGCTCCCGCAGGCCCTTGGCTCGCTCTGCGCGGTCCTTGTAGGCCAGCATCAGCAGGCAGTCTGCGCGGGGACAGAGGCCGAGGGCCGTCAGGGGCGCCAGCCAGGGCAGCCGCCGCCCCCGAGGCCCCAGCGGGCCCTGGGCTGGAGGGGTGACCCTGAACAGGCCGCCCAGCCACTCTGAGCTTCCGTTTCCTCGAATACAGAACGACACCCCACCCCACGTGGCCCACAGGGCAGAGGGCCCCGAACACCAAGACCGAGCCCTGGCCCCAGCCCAGAGCATCCCCAGACCTGCAGCCCCCGGGACCCTTCTCAGGGCTGCAGGGACTGCAGGGGCGCGCTGGGTGGCTTGGGGGATGGCACAGAGCCTGCCCAGGGCCTGGGCCGCCCTCGGCCCTGCCTGTGCCCCTTCCTGCTCACACCACACCCTCCCCTCCTGGATCTCTGGCTTCCAGCCCCGGAGAGAGGGCAATGCCAGGGGGCCTTGGGTCCCACTGTAGACCTCACACGAGCCCCAGTCTCTTCCCCGGCTGCAGGGGACATGCCTGAGTCTGGTGACTCGGTCCCTGTCCTCAAGTTCAACATCGTGGTTGCGTCCCTGTCACCCCAATGGCAAAGCAGGCAGCCGCTTAGCAGGGTGAGGGGTGGGGTAAGTTCCAAATTCGGGGGCACCTCCACCGTGTGCCTCCACCCCCCCCACCCCCACCCCCAGGGCACAGTCTTTGGTGAGGCCCAGTGTTTGGGGGCCTAAGGTAACATCAACACACATTTATGTGTGGGACACCCCGAATCCTGCAGGAAAACACAAAACATGGGTCCCCTCGGTATGCAGGTCCCGGGAGAGCAGGGCAGGGACACTGCCCCTTGGATCCTTCAGAGCCAACCCCAAGTGACCACGACGCTGACCCTGCACCTGTGGGAACCAGCCTCGGAGCTGGTTTGCTCCTGCCGGGCCCCCCCTCTAGCCTCCGTCCCAGCCTCAGGGTGAGGGGGCCTGAGCCCCTGGAGGCCACTGTCCCTCCAGACCCCCATCCCAGCTGCTGGCCTCTGCGGTGAGACAGCAGGTGACTGTGTCCAGCAAACCCACGTTGACACACTCGGGGGGGGAAATGCAAGGGGCCTCACCTCCTATTTGATAACATGCCCGTTGTGTTAAAATCTTTATATCGGGGAAAAGCGAAGATGTTCCCATTTTGAGAAAGAAAAAAAAAAGAACTCAGCACCCACAGAAACCCATCTGCCCACCCGAGGGCTCCAGCACCTTCTCTCCCTGGGGGCCCAGAAGAGGCAGCCTGGCCTGGCCTGGGGAGAGGTCAGTCACGCGGGCAGAGGGCCCGTGTCATATGAAGATGTCCCCCAAAGGTGTCACCAGAGGCCTGAGAAGGAAGAATTTGAGGGCAGGCGGTGGTCACAGAGAGGTCAGCAGTAAAGGACTCGAGGTGAAGACGCCTTGTGGGGTGAAGAGAAGCCCTGGGGCGGGGAGCTGCAGGGGAGTGGGCGTGAGGACAGCCGCCCCCAC